AACACTCAAGGCAAGATGTGTTTATTCCGAGCAATCGTGGTGGGACGAATGCATGCCAATAAGAACGACATAGTAGAATGGAAAAGAGACTGGAAAACTATTCAACGATTGGACCGAACCAGACAAACAAGTGAAGCAGAACTCTTGTTACAGCAAGCCAGCTTATCGAAAGACACCATTTGTGGCATACCTGAAATGCAAAAATTGCAAGATGTATTTATTCCACGCTACACACTGAATGTCTATCCTCATGAAGTGCGTGTACATCTGTTGTTTCAAGGCAAATATTTCAAAGATGGAAAATATATTCACATCTATCATCACGATGAACATTTCGATGCCATTACAAGTATTTCCACATTCTTGGGATACGGTTATTTTTATTGTGAGAAATATTAATATGGCTATAACAAATGAAAACAACACAAGTATCGTGGATTAAAATGTGATAGATATTTAGCCTCTAAACCCTGTTTTGACGAAGGACAACAACGAGTGCATTCCTCAAATTATAAGCACACTTTTATCAGCCATACCTTTTACCAGCAACATCTGAAGAGGCAAGGTTCACAGTAAAAAAGTGCTTTTCAACGCCAGAGATTGTACCCTAATTGTGGACAAGGCATACGTACCAACAGTGCCAAGGCACACGTATGTCGAGGAAAGAAACGATGCCACATTTGTCAACAGATCGTGGACTTGGAACACGAATGTTACATTTAAAAATACCAACGCCAAGATGACGAGCAAGAGTAAAATAACCAAAAGCAGAAAGACGATTTCATCTTTTTTTAAATGCACGCAAGAAACCGGCATTCATATTCCTAATTTCTGCGTGGCTCATCGATCGAGCGTGCGAGAAGTTTATCAAAGAACTAATCTTTTCTAATTGCCCCCCCACACACACACACACACTGTAGCAAGATTCCTGGAGGACTTAAAAAAATCTTTCGGGGACCGAGAACGTTGGCTGATTTTGCCTAATGGATGAATCTAAGACCATATCAACGAGACGTGGAGTCAAGAGGACATCGAACGTTATGGAGATTGCCATCACAATATCACGATGATGGCCAATATTTTTCTGGTACGATGGACAGTTTTTTTTTTCTGAAATACTATGAGAAACAAAGCACCGAATATCCGAAAGTCGCCTTGAAATGAGCAAAAATCATCTCCATACAAGTAGGACAATTGCAGTTTAAAAATTCAATGAGTTTTCTTGGCCATGCATTTGAGCCAAATGCATAAACCATTTGGAATAACAGGAATGGCCAAAGGTTACATCCACACCTTTTGAATACCGAATCCAATCAACACGCCTTTCTACCCAATTTGCCTGATGTTCACTACTACGACCCCGACAGCATGCGCACCAAGCAACGAGAAGCCTTCTACGCTTGGTACCACACTCACGCCTCAGACCACTTTAACTCTCAATGTTCAAGTATTGTCGATCCGACGTAGACATTTTACAACGTTGCTGTGGGAAATTTTGAGAATTGTTCATGGATCAAGGAGAAATTTATCCTTTGGGAAAAAAGTTTACACCATTTCCAAAGCGTGTGTCTTAGTGTACCGCAAACGATTTATGCCAAAAAATATTCTGGCTGTCATCCGCCCTCAAACGACAAACATTGTCAAACGTCAATACTCGTTCAAAGCCATGCGCTGGCTACATTACATGTACGAAAAGAAGACAAATAGATTTAATATGCCCGAAACGGAGGAGGCAAAACGACCATCGAAACGTAGTCGGTGGATGGCTGAAACTTAAAAAAAAAAAAAACAAGATTATATACGAGTTTAACGGTTGCCTATTTTGTTGATGTCCAATTTGTTACCATCAACGCGACAATAACAATTAGTTTTACAACGTACCATGGAAGACTTGTACGTGGCGATTTGTCATCGGTGCTTCTAGTCAGAGCAGCAAGGATACCAGGTGGTGGAAACATGTGAATACGAGTACGATCACCGTTTGAAAACCGATTCCGAGTTTAAACTTATAGTGGAATGTTACAAGCTGATGGACCCTCTGAACTCGCGGGATAGTTTTATCGATAAAGAATGAATGCCATCTGTTTGTTGTACCATGCCTACGCGAAGAAAGGAGAAGAAATGAAATACTTGGACGTGTGTTCTCTGTATCCTTACATGTGCAAATATTGTCACTTTTCCACAGCGCACTCGCAATTGCTGTCAAAACGCATCGACTTATACAACATTCTACAATACGAAGGATTGATTAAATGTAAAGAATTGCCACCCACGAAAGTGTACCATCCCGTTTTACTTCACCATCGCTATGAACAAGTTGTTTCCCTCGTGCCGCACGTGTACGGAAACATGCAACCAAGACCAGCCTTGTCATCACACCAATGAAAAACGCGTCTTGACAGGAACGTGGGTCAGTGTACAAGTGTTTGAAGCTCTGAACCTCGGATGCTAACTGTTAAGTGTAAAAAATCTACCACTTTCCCAAGACAGAACAGTATCACAAGGGTGACGACACTCAAAATGTCATTTTCACAGTCTACTTGGATGCAATTTTAAGACTGAAACAAGAAGCCAGTGGCTATCCTTCCTGGTACCACACTCCTGAAGGCTAAAAGAAATTCAAATATAAATACTTGGAGTAGGAATGCATCACCTTAGAACATGTTTAGGAAAAGGAAGAAGGACGATCGTTTGCCAAAGTGATGTGATGCTAAATTGCTTGAGGGGTAAAATAGCACAACGATCGTGTTTACCCAAGACGGAGTATTGACAGAACCTTCTCAGTACTTCCAGATGATTCACGACAAAACCAAATACATGAAACACGTGGACGTCATTCATTAAGACTTGATCATGGTTAATTGCAAAGATCTTGAGAGTTTGTAGAAGCTGACGAATTTGGATATGCCATCATCGTGGCCTACGTGACAGCCCATGCTCGTTTAAAACTGTACGAAGCCTTACACCAACTAGGATATCGCATCCTGTACATTAACACGGACATTTCCATCTACATTCCACGTTCTGAGAACCCTGACGACATGATTCTAAGTTTTGCTAGTGGCGGTCCTAAACATTACTGCTACGAATATCGCGACAAACAAGAAGGGCACACAGAGTGTAAAGTGAAAGAATTGACTCTAAATCATCATAAGAGTCGAGTGGTGAACTTTGCTATGCTGAAAGAAGCCTTACAATCTGGAGCGGATCAAGATTTTAAAGTGACCAACTGCAAACCTAACAAGATCGTATGTTTAGCCACATAACCACACACCAAATAGTCAGTCGGCCTTTAGAAAAAGTGTATCAAATCATGTACCAGAAGCGAGTGCGGGTTCCCAATCACTTCACTTTACCGCCCGGACACGCTGATATTGGCCAGCATATCAAGGGGAAAACTTCCAAGACCGATTGTGACTACAAATGCCAAGCGAGAAAGAGCAATCCTTTTACACAGCAAGTATCTAGCGAGAGAAAACTCGAATATGATGATGTCCCTCATGATCATATCACCAATGCAGTATCCAATCTTAGTTGTTTATTTATTTAATACATTGAAAACTATGTGAAACCAGTGCGACTTCCAGACTATGAGGCTATCTTAAGGACACGCTCATATCACCCAGTATAAAATGGGACGACACTGAAGAATAACACTTCATTGTGAAGACAAGCGAAGCGAGAAAGGTGAATGAATCTACGCAAATGAAGAAATAGAAGGAACAAATATAATTAATTTCTATCACCACCATCCAGTCACTGCCAAGTGCGTCCAAGATTGAAAAGGATTCAGTAGACATAAGTGAGCATCAAAATGACTCAGACAACGACTTCGTGAACATTTAGAATGACAACTTACACGATGAAATTCTTACGTTCCAACCGAGAAAGCAGCATGTTTCACGACTGACTGATTTGACTTACTGTTAGAGGAACTTAAACGTCAGTGTCTGAAGTCAAAGATCGAGATTTTTGAGAACGATAGTTTGAACTCTTTGAAGTCTCGGGATTATTACACCTTTAACAGGGGCCCCGAGTGGCCGTGTGGTCTAAAGCGCTCTCCGTTACGGATCACTGCCATCTCTCCTCTATCTGCGTGGGTTCGAGTCAAAGATTCGGCGAATGTGGATATGTGAGAAAGCTTGCCAGAAGCTTCTAGTGGGTCGGTGGTTCTTTCCACGGATTTCCCGGTCTCGTCCTCCACCATTAATATTGGCCGCCATGTATAGCCTATCGTGTGCTGAAAAATGGCGTTAAGCCCCAGAACAACAACAACACCTTTAACAATAACTTCTTTCAAACTATTGAGGGTCATTGAAGACAAACAAACAATGAGAGAAAACTTTGAAATCATCGATGGAAAAGTGATCATTCATATGGCATTCGTTGTACCTACATGGCAATAAGACAATAACCGTCATTGATCTATTTATATATAAGTGTACCAAGCACGATGGATATACCAAGAGATCTACTGATGAAAAGCAGTACGCGATGGGAAACATCTATGCTGGAACAAAAGTGGTAGTTGACCAGATCAAACAACGTGTGTAACTGATTAAAAGAAAAGCACGAACTGTTTCCTATTTAATCATTTGTTGCTTGGTTTAGCTTTTCTTAATAAATGACATTAATTGTGGCACGAAAAGTGTCATTCTTTTATGAAATGCATATATGTTATATATGCAATGTTTGAATGCATGACATGTAATCTTTGAAATTTTTTTTCTAGAACCATGAAATAGATAACTTGTGAATAGGTTTGTTCCATGTCTGAATTTGTATGCATTAAATGGATAATGCTTAGACCAAAGTACAAGCCAGAGATCCTTTGTACAAATTTGAATACATATTTTGTACCCATACAATAGGCTTTTCTTTATGGATTCTCTATTCTGCCCGTGAGTCTTTCTTTAGAACATCTCAGTCCTCTTTTATGTGTTTTTGGATGTCCCTTGTTTCTGTACGTCAGTGTTTGTTCCTATCAACTCTTTGTACCTGTAAAAATCGCTCCGAATACCTTGTGGTTAGAGCATCCGCTTCGGATGCGGAAGATTGTGGGTTCGATCCCCGGCTGAGTCATACCAAAGACTTACAAAAATGGTACTAACAATTGCCTCGCTTGGCGCTCAGCATTAAAAAGTTCGTGTTAGTGCTGGTCGTCCTGGTGTCAGGATAATGTGACTGCGTGGAACATCATGCTACATGTCTGCTGCATGATGTCCCAGTCCAAGACATCATTATAAACTGCTATACTGCAGACATCGTAGTGATATGACTGAAAAATTGTTAAAACTACGTTATAAATCGAAATCACACACACACATACACACACACAGACGGTTCCTATAAATGCATTTCACTCTGTAAATAGTTTTGACCCTATGAACCCAATGACGTCACACATGTTCAGTTCCCAGTGACATCCAGGTGCTATTCTCATGTTAACTTTTCATAGACCCCATAGTGCAACGACCAAATTTAGCATAGAAGTCCACAGACGCCATATAATCCCCATATACTACTGACGTTTTAAATGGTGAAAATGTTTATATATATCGAAAATCAGTCATTATAGTCATGAAATCATTATTTGTCAGAGAAAATTAATCTTCTCATATCGAAAATAATTAGTGTGAATGAACTTAAAAAAGTTTTATTTAAAATCCAAAAAAGTTTATATCCATTAAGTAATGAGTATATTTTACAATGTCAGATTGTCCTGTTCTTAACTTAATTGTATCGAATTGTATTGTTTTGATTGAAATTGTTTAGATAATTCATTGTGCAATTAATTTGTGTTCGTTAATTTACATATTCACAAGAGTGTTATTATATAAATATTTAATGATGGATACAAATGTTAATGCATGAAAAAATGACATAAATAATTTAATTTTATAGCATTATATAAGTAATGATGAAAAGGCAGATCATCCATTAAATGTCTCAGCATAAAAAAGCGCTGTTCAGTAAAACTCCGTGTTACATATCACAACCTATTGTTTTACAGCGTTGCTCTATTAAATCACATCCTCGTGCAGACAAATGATACAGTAAAATGTGCCCCACACTCGTCTCTAACACGTTCCCAACGTCGAGATGAATCCTGTGGATAAATGACCTTTACAGTAACACGTGCCTCGCGCTCGTCTCTAACCCTTTCTCAATGTCGAAGTGAATTCATGGATCATACGTTGAATCTACGCTAGCGCTGTAGAGTTTCGTACTTTGCATAGGGTTAGATTTTTTCTTTACACTATCAGAAATTGGTATTGCCTAGTATAGCAACATATATTTTCCTTATTTTAATAACTGCAAAAGATAGTGTAATTTAGACTAATTCATGTTGATTTTTTTTTTGAGCATATTGTAGCAGTTAATTAGGCTAGGTATGTGCTCGGCTCATACACAAGTATAATATCCAAAGAAATTGCAGCCAAGATACATGAAAGTGACATAGAGGAATTCCAACATTATATCTATTGTACGACCGTTTGGTGACCTAAGTAATTAGAGTGTCTGTAAAAAAAAGTTATCGGCTCTATTTTTTTACAATTTACCTATGAAGTTCGAGAAGTGAAAATGAGCAAGTAGAGCTAGCACTTTTTTGAAAGATGCACATCTGGAGTAAGGCCAAGCTGTATACTCTATAACCCATATTACACCCATCAATCATACATCAAAATAAAGGGAATTAAAGGGTCTTTACACAATACCTAAGATAAATAAAGTCTCTTTAAAATAGCCAGTATAACTAGTGAGGAAACCCGGGGAGACTCTTTTTCTTTAAAATTCTAACCCTATGTTAAATACGAAACTATAGAGCGCCACCTAATCAGTTTTGGTTTCGTTTGGAACATCTCGGTCATGCACACAGTAAATCCCAGTACAAATAAAATCAATGTGGGTCTGATAGTTTGAAGTTTGTTTTGAGGGAAAATTTCCGGGAAAAAAGTGATTTTTCTGTAAATTACTGCGGTGACATATAGAAGAAGCATAATTTTATCCTGTAGAAATACCCCAGGTACTTACAAATGGGCTATCGCAATAATATAATTGCGGCATGTCACATGATACGAATATACCAGTGTCTTTAAAACCGTAACCGAAATCCAAAACTGGCCGGGTGACCCCGGTTAGTCAATTACAAGATAAAAATATGCCTCAGAGATATGTCGGCGCAGTGATTTAATGAAGAATCACACATTTAGTACGCTAACTCTTATTTCGGGAATAGCCGAGGTGGTCCGAATGGTGGCTCGACATCGGCATCTGTTCGAGGTGCGATCTGTGGGATTGACCTCATAGCTGCGAATATATTCGCCATTCTCGGTTTTTCAAGACTATATATCCATTGAGTTCTGCAGCCGAAGCGAAGCATGTGGCCATAGAACACAATTAATTTTACTATATAGTCTCTACATTTGTTTTTCAGTACTGAACTTTCCACTGTGTGACAATCAATACAAATCATGTTAATCTAAAATACCTTCAAAGATGACTTTACGGTGAAGTTCTTGTCAATGGTTGTTCTGCATATTTTTGAGAGGCTGAATTGTAAACTAAACACCATGCAACTGAATAAAGATTTCAATTCCGAATCATCACCATGGCGTTGTTACTCACTGTACACTGTCGCCGAAATACACACAGTCAAACACACCATATGCTCACATTCTAAAGAATAAACAATTGCCTTTAAATCCTTACCAAGAATTCCAAAATCTAACTCTTGTATCACCACCAAACGGAGACAGGAAAAAAAAAAATGATCTAAATATAGTCTGGGACTACATTCGTGGGTACTGAACCGGAATTATTAATTGTGTTCTGATTCCATGTTATACAGGCTAGATATTTCATTCATTACCCTATCTGAACGACCTAGGTCTTTTCTGTAGAAAAACTGAAAAATCCGCGATATATACGCCCTGAACGTTCTCAGCCTTTCTGTGTCAAAGTATAAAAAGTCATTGCATGTAAATGGAGGAAATATTACACTTGCTGTCAACCCTGCGATCACTAATAACATGTTAATAAGTTCACTTATTATATGCTCATCTTTTTTCTCCGTTAACTTTACATTGTCAGAATCGTGCAATATTCACCGATATTGAACACCTTCATATTGTATCCCACGCGCAAAGGAACTATTTTTTTAACGTAAACAATTTTTTATGAATGAACTAAACCATATATTTCATAGACGGCCACATACCAGCAAATGTTTCATAGACTGACACATACAAACTGCTTTGGCACATTCCGCGTTTACTTTTTTGATACAATGTTTCAAATTTAACTATATATTGACGCTATACAGGTTCCTCACAATAACATGCAAATTATACACATAAACTATCTTCTTTAGCTGTTAATACAAATGGCCAAAAATATATTTAAAATTTTACATCCTGAATTTCCTCAAAAATATATTTTCGTAGGTCTGTAAATCTGAATTAGATGAGCCATGTCATAGGTTCTCAAGATCGATTACACATTTTGAAATTGTACTATAATTTCGAGTATATTCCAAGTGTAGCTACATCCTCCTTAATGCACTGAAAATGAAATAAACATTAAATTCCACAGCGTGTTTTTGATAATTGCAATGGAAAGGCTTCATAATTTTCCCACATTGCGATCTGAATCATTCAATGACAGAAAAGAAACAGGCATGCCGATGTCAACAGAATTCAAAACATTAAAATGGCAGACGCTGCTGGAAACCGATGCAAGTCACTTCATGTAGATAAATCCAGGCATTAATCAAAAGATTGCGTTGAATCGACAAATATATCAAAAGGTATTCATTCCAGATCAAATGGAAAAGTTGTTGCAATGCGTATTCATCAACAATATTACTCCAAATTTCAATTTTAAGTAGAGCAAGCTCCATTTTCTTTCGAAACTTACGTCTAGCGCGCGACTAACTTCATATTTATCTAGGCGGAGTTATGCGCTCATTAATAATGTTGTGTAATAATCCATCAACGCTTATGTATTGAGTTCGGAATACGGCGTACATTTAGTTACTTTGTTTCTTTCAATGTATTTTTGTTTATATATTTAAGCTTTGGGAAGAATAAGAAATGAGCATATAATAAAAAGGTTACTGTATTTGCATGGGAAAATATAAACTCGTTTTGTCGGAAGGATATATTGCACTCCCAAGGTCGTGGAGTATATCCATCCGAAAAACTCGTTCATATTTTCCCATACAAATGCAGTAACCTATAATTACGTCAAAATAAATATCATTAAAAAAAGCAGCTGACTGGTAGTTTTAGACAACCATGGATATTTATTTTTCATTTTTTAGTATTTCAAACAGTTCCATTTTCATGAAGATCGTATATTTTTAGCGAATAATGCACATCCTTCATTTTTTTTTAAAAAGTGTGTGTGTGTGTGTGTGTGTGTGTGTGTGTTAAATAACATTGAAATAGCACATTATTTCGTAATTATTATGATCTTATTCCAAAACATTCTGCATTGTATCATTGTATCATTGTATCGTTTTCTTTCACTTAATCACTTGTCTCATAATTTGATTGAATGTTGAGAATTTACAGCGGAAACACCTATTCAAGCTGTCAACAAGACTGACACCGATCTCTGCTATGTAAACATATTGTTTACAACTTAGTCAAGAACAAAGTTAGTTATGTAATCATGTTGTTTACAAATGACCATTATCTTAAAGTACAATCTACAGTCATGGACAAGAGTTAAGCACACACACAATATATATATATATATATATATATATATATATATATATATATATATATATATATATATATATATATGAAAATTTTCTCTTAATTAATGTCTTGTGCATAATGACATTCGGACCAAAGAAGAATGTTATGCCCATTCTATAGGTTATAAGACCAGGCATGTTAAGAACAATAATTTTAAACAAGGTAATAGACAGGTTAATGTTTAGCGGTAAGGGGAATTGTATTTTGGAGTCGGGTATGATTTTTTTCTGGGCGGTGTAACGGCAGAGGTATTGAACAATTGAACGTTTTATGATATCTTTTGTAAATGGTAAACATGTGTCTGTGTGTGTT